ATTCAACAAGGCCAAGTCCAAGGTCCTGCACATGGGCTTGGGCAATCCCAAGCACAGAGACAGGCCGGGCAATGAGTGGATTGAGAGCAGCCCTGGGGAGAAAGACTTGGGGGTGCTGGTGGGTGAAAAACTGAACGTGAGCCAGCAGTGTGTGCTCACAGCCCAGAAAGCCAATCACATCCTGGGCTACATCAAGCATGACCAGCAGGTTGAGGGAGGTGATTCTCCCTCCCTATTCCACTCTGGTGAGACCCTACCTGCAGTGCTGTGTTCAGTTCTGGGACCCCCAACATAAGAAAGACATGAACCTGCTCAAGTGGGCCCAGAGGAGGGCCATGAAGATGATGAGGGCGCTGGAGCACCTCCCTTGTGAGGACAGGCTGAAAGAGTTGGGGTTGTTCAGCCTGGAGAAGAGAAGGCTCCTGGGAGACCTTATAGCGCCCTTCCAGTACTTCAAGGGGGCCTCCAGGAAAGGTGGGGAGGGACTCCTGATCAGGGAGGGTAGTGACAGGACGAGGGGTAAAGGTGTCAAACTGAAAGAGGGGAGATTTAGATTAGATATTAGGAAGAAATTCTTCCCTGTGAGGGTGGTGAGACACTGGCACAGGTTGCCCAGAGAAGCCATTTCTGCCCTCTCCCTGGCAGCGTCCAAGGCCAGGTTGGATGGTGCTTGGAGCAACCTGTTCTCGCAGAAGGTATCCCTGCCCATGGCAGGGGGTGGTTGGAACTAGGTGCTCTTTAAGGTCCCTTCCAACCCAAATCATTCCATGATTCTATGAATCAGGTAGAATTATAAACAATAATGCTGAGGCTTTAAAAAATTGATATTACTGTTTTCTTGTAGTGTTCATTATCTGAAGACCTCTGCATGTTCACCTGAAATATTACCAAAAAATCTTGCCCTATCAGCATCTTATCTTGACAAGTTTCCAGCCTTGCAAAAGGCAAAAACTCAGGTTCTCTCTGTAAAAGATTCAGTCTTCCCAGATTTCCAGATCAATTCTGAAAATTCAAAATATTCAGAAATACTGCCTGTGTATTGATACATGTAAATACTGGGTACTGAAGCAAAGTGATTTTTCAGTGTGTTCATGGCCCATGACAACTTAAAGTGATCAGTTAACTTAAATCAGTGACATTTTCTTTCCAGCTACTTTAATCTAGCCAGCTAAAGAGTTTCTAGCAATTATAGATTGGTGCTGCTATTGAGTTAGGACCATTAAGATCCCTGACATTCTTTTCTTTTGGGCTGAATTTCATTCTTTAATTGGATGATAACAAAAACTGTTCAATTGTCGATGTAGTGGGAGAAATTTTATTGTTGCCTTTTTTCTTCTTGAAAGTGGTCTAACTTGTGTAACTAATGTGCCAGAGATCAAAGACTGGCTCGGTATTTTAAGTCTGTATCACTTGTTATCCATCACATGTCATACTTTGCTGCTAGGTGCAGCAAGAACCAGTGCTCTTTTTAACTCAGAAGCCTAACAGTCCCCTGTTTTCTATTGCAGGCTGCGTACAGACAGTTGCAATTATAGGGCCAATATTTGGCTTTCTTCTAGGATCACTGTGCGCCAAACTTTATGTTGACATTGGCTTTGTAGATCTGGGTAAGTCAGAAAACTCAGGTTTTAAAAATTCAGTCAGGCTTCAAAATGCCTGATTTAGGCCAAGAAGTACCTAGTTATCTTCTAGGCATAAGGAGCTAATGGGGGTAGTGCAGGCACTTTATGAAATAAAAAGGATGACAGCGATGCAATGCCCCATGCAGAGAAGGCTAGCAAGAAGGATGGGTATAGAGGGAAGTATGAGGCCTGACTTCCTCAGCCCCAGCAGTTCTGTGGCTGGTGCCCCCCAGGAGATGCCCTGGTGAGAAGGCTCTGGGGGGACAGCGGGCACCAGGAGGAGGCAGAAGGCTCAGGATCCTCCCAAGAGCTGTGTGCGTGCGTTTTGTAGTACGCTGCCATTGCCTGGAAAAGTGGTCTTGCAATGGGTACTGGGGCTTCTGGTTGCCTTCCTCTTGAGAAAACAATTTCCACCCCATTTTTCCATGGCACTTTTGTGCAGAACAGCCTCACTGGGAGCAAGCGCATGGTCACCTGGACTAATGTCCCATGTCCTGGGCCTCTCTGGGGATGTGTGAGTGGCATGGCTGGGGACCCTGTGGTGTCAGGGGAAGGCTGCTGCTGTGTCACAGGAATCAGCAAATCCTTATTGCCTTCCCAGTATCGCTCCTGTAACATCAATACACACAGCACAGGAAAACCCGGCAAGGTGGGGGTGGACTCCTCTGGAGAAGGTCCCTGCAAAATCACCTTCCTTGTTATCAGCAAACATTCTTGAAATGGATTTATTAGTTTCTTCTTTTTTTGCCTTTCTCCAGACAGTGTAACAATAACTCCGAAGGACACGCAGTGGGTGGGAGCCTGGTGGCTGGGGTACTTAATAGCAGGTGTGATTAGCATTCTGGCTGGCATCCCCTTCTGGTTCCTGCCAAAGCACCTCCCAAAAACAGAGAGCAGAAAGGACTCCAGTACCTCCTCCGAGCAGTCAAAGTTCATCACTGAGGATAACAAGGACCAACACAAATCTTATCAGCAACCAGCGAAGATTGCTGAGATGGCAAAAGGCAAGTCACTAGAGTTTCTTTCCTGAGCGTTGAGTCTTTCTTTTACTAGCTTTTATACTTTAAAACTTTATACTTTCTGAGGCCGTATGTTAATAGCCTCAGAATTACTATTTCCCTCAAGTGTTACTCTCCAGATAACTAGCATGCACAAAAAGGGTCTTTTCATTGTTCCCTGGACATGCCCTTGCATGCAGAATTTCTCCAGCTGAGATTTGTAAAATTACTCTAGTGGCCCAGCAGTTATTATGAAACTCTGCAAAAATTTTTCATTCACAGATAGTGATTGTTGCAGAAGCAGGGCTCAAAAGATCTCAGTTTTTGTTAAACCTTTTTCTTTAAGGTCATTCATGTACAAAAACATGTACAATATCTGATCAGAATAAGGATAGGCATAGACTAGATTCAGATTTTTAGGAGGCTACCTGGATTTAGACACAAGCCATTTTGCACAGTTGCATTTGCTTGCCCCTACTCTGCCAAAAGCATTTTCCCTTAGTTGTTGAATCTGTAACTCAGTATGTCTGTGCTTACTGTCAGCTGTGCTGAGCTCCCAAATCTGCCCCCAAATTAAACCAAAAGATTCTGTGGCTGTTGAAGACACATAGAAATGAAAACAGTCCTGGTTTATGATTGAAAGAAGATATATAAAACAAGATACCTCTTCTGGGAAATAGATGCTTACTGTTTTGCTCCACTGTTCCCCAACCCAGAAATGGGGGAGCTCTTAGGAGCATCATGGAACTTCATGGATTCCTTCTGAAATGTTCTGTAGTCCTTCTTTGAAGGGTGAAAACATGTTGCAAAGCATTATGCACAGAAGTTATTCTCTGTCTGTCCTGGTTGTCATTTCTGCTGTTTTGTCTTGCAGACTTTTTGCCATCACTGAAGAACCTCTTTGGGAATCCAGTTTACATTCTGTATTTGTGTGCAAGTATCATTCAGTTCAATTCTTTAATTGGCATGGTGACATATAAACCAAAGTATATTGAACAACAGTATGGGCAAACATCTTCAAAAACTAATTTTGTTATAGGTAATGCTATATCCACTTCCTGATATCTTAAAAATGGACATTTTGGCAATGGTATATACCTATACATAGGGAAAATTGGATTTATTTAGGATAAGTTTTTTTCTTCTCCTTTCTGGCTTTAAGTAGTAGCTCACAGAAGGTAAGGTATTTTATTTCTGCTTTAGCACTAGTTAGCTCTGAATTTATCTATGCAAGAGTTACTGTGAAAGATTACATCATTTGATACCTTATTTCCCATTTTACTGGACATTTGAAAAATAATGTATGTACAGCACAAGAGAATAATTGATAAGAGAATTCATTTTAAAATACTTTACATAAATTGTCATCAGACAGATCTGTTCCCTTGCTGACTTCCCATTTATTTTAACAAGATGAAGATCAACTCAGTGAGTGCTAAAGGACTGACCATAAAGTAGCTGTGATATTGCCAGTGATTTCTTATTTTCTGAATAGGTTGGTTTTGAATAAAAGAAGGCAAAGTCACGTCGGTGATCACACAAAACATGCCTTAAAAACCTAACATTACCTCAGTGGGATGCTGGTGAAGGAAAAGCAGGTATTTCTGCCCTAACTTTACTGAAGAGCCTTTCTCTGTTGTGGAGTTAGTCTCCCAAACCCTCCCATACAGCACAACACTGAGAGTAGCCTCACGTTCACAGGTCCTGGTTCTCATGGGGGACTTCAGCCACCCTGATATTTGCTGGAAAGGCAATACAGTTAGACAACACAGTCCAGGAGGTTGCTGCAGAGCATTGACAATAACTTTTTGACACAGGTGGTGGAGGAGCCAACGAGGAGAGGTGTGCTACTGGACCTTGTGCTAACAAAAAAAGAAGGACTGATTGGGGATGTGAAGGTTGGGGGCAGCCTTGGCTGCATTGACCATGAGATTGTGGAGTTCAAGATCCTGCATGGAAGAAGCAGGGCAATAAGCAGGATAACAACCCTGGACTTCAAGAGAGCTAAATTTGGCTTCTTCAAAGACCTACTTGGAGGGTTAGAGCTCTTGAAGGTAGGGAGGCCCAAGAGAGTTGGTTAATATTCAAGCACATCTTCCTCCAAGCTCAAGATCGATGCACCCCTATGAGTAAGAAATCAAGCAAAGGAGGCAGGAGACTTCAATAAGCAAAGAGCTTCTGGAAAATCTCAACTGGAAGAAGGGAGTTTACAGAATGTGGAAAAAGAGACTGGCCACTTGGGAGAATTATTGGAATGTTGACAGAATATGCAGGGACACAGCGAGGAAAGCTAAAGCCCACTTGGAATTAAATCTGGCTAGGGATGTCAAGAATAAGAAGAAAGGCTTCTTTAAGTACATTAGTAGCAAAAGGAAGACCAGGGAAAATGTGGGCCCACTGCTAAATGAGGCATATAGCCTGGTGATGGAGGATATTGCGAAGGTAGAGTTACCGAATGCTTTCTTTACATCAGTCTTTACTGCTAAGTCTGGTCCTCAGGAATTCCAGTCCATGGAGGTAAGAAAAGAAGTCTGGAGAGAGGAAGACCCCCTTGGTTGAGGTGAATTGTGTTAGAGACCATTCGGGCAAACTGGACACTCAAAAAATCCATTGGCTGTGATAAGATGCACCCATGAGTGTTAAGGGAGCTGGCAGAAGTCATTGCTAAGCCATTCTCCATCATCTTTGACAGGTGATGGAGGACAGGAGAGGTGCCTGAGGACTAGAGGAAAGCCAATGTCACCCCAATCTTCAAAAAGGGCAAGAAAGAGGACCCAGGAAACTACAGGGCTGTCAGCCTCACTTCCATCCCTGGAAAGGTGATGGAACAGCGTGTTCTGGGTGTCATCTCTAAGCATGTGAATGAAAAGAAGGTTATCAGGAGTAGCCAACATGGATTCACCAAGGGAAAGTCATGCTTGACCAATCTGATAGCCTTCTATGATGACATGACTGGCTGGGTAGATGAAGGGAAAACACTGGATGTTGTCTACCTCAACTTCAGCAAGGTTTTTGACACTATTTCCCATCACACCCTCCGAGTCCTCATAGGTAAGCTTAGAAAGTGTGGGTTAGTTGACTGAACAGTGAGGTGGATTGAGAACTGGCTGAAGGACAGAGTTCAGAGGGTCATGATCAGCTGCGCAGAGTCCAGTTGAAGGCCTGTAGCTAGTGTTGTTCCCCATGGGTCAGTACGGGATCCAGTCTTGTTGAACATATTCATCAATGACCTGGATGAAGGGACAGAGTATACCCTCAGCAAGTTTAGTGATGATATGAAACTGGGAGGAGTGGCTGACACACCAGAAGGCTGTGCTGCCGTCCAGTGAGGTCTGGACAGGCTAGAGACCTTAAATGGATGAGCAATGCAGGATCCTGCACCTAGGGAGGAATAACCCCATACACCAGTACCAGTTAGGGGTTGACGTGCTGGCGAGCAGCTCTGCAGAGAAGGACCTCGGAGTCCCGGTGGACAGCAAGTTGACCATGAGCTAGCAATGTGCCCTTGTGGCCAAGAAGGCTAATGGTATCCTGGATGCATTAGGAAGAGTGTGGTCAGCAGGTCAAGGGAGGTTGTCCCCCCCCTCTACTATGCCCTGGTGAGGCCACAATTGGATTACTGTGTCCAGTTCTGGGGTCCCCAGTTCAAGAGACAGGGAACTACTGGAGAGAGCCCAGTGGAGGCCTACAAAAATGATTAGGGGACTGGAGCATCTCTCTTATGAGGAAAGGCTGAGACACCTGGGTCTGTTTAGCCTGGAGAAGAGCAGACTGAGAGGGGACCTTGTCAACACTTAGGAATATCTAAAGGGTGAGTGTCAAGAGGATGGAGCCAGACTCTTTTCAGTGGTGCCCAGTGACAGGACAAGCAGAAACAGGCACAAATTGGAGCACAGGAAGTTCCACCTCAACATGAGGAAAAACTTCTTTACATTAAGGGTGACAGAGCACTGGAACAGGCTGCCCAGGGAGTTTGTGGAGTCTCCTTCCCTGGAGTTATTTAAAACCCATCTGAACACGATCCTGTGCAACCTGCCCTATGCAAACCTGCTTTAGCAGGGGGCTTGGACTAGAAGATCTCCAGAGGTCACTTCCAACCCCTACCATTCTGTGATTCTGCCTTTGGGTACCGAGGTGACCATTTTTGGAGATGTCTTCAGGTTGGTGAACTTCACTCCCCAGTTGCTGAACCTGCGTGCAGGCTTGAGTTCAGTTCCTGAGGTCCAGGGATTCAATAGCATTAGACAGCAAAGAGGTTTACATCTACCCAATACAGAGGGAACTGCCTTGTTTCAGAGCAGCATTAGTTGCACAGCAACGGAGGTATATATATGCAGAAAAGCTGTATTGATCCATTGTGCTATGTTAATTCCTTAAAGATAGAAACTGGAATTTCCTGGCACAAAACTCCTCAAAGGAAGGAGAAATCTTCAAGCACAGTCGATGGTCAGAGAAAGTCCAGAAAACAATCCCTACATTCAGTACAGTAATTCTCATTGTATTTAAAGATTTTCTGGAGCTAAGCTTTTGGGTATGTGCAACTGAGTGAGGATTAAGATCCATCTGATTTCACAAAGCATAGGTACTATATGCAACAGAGAATGTGCGATGGCTTGGCTAGGGAAGGATCCTGGCTGAGTGGCCATCCATGCAATAAGGTGTTTTTCCTTCCTTCTTTTCCTTTCTCTCCCAGTCCGCCCTTGGTAAGGAAGCTGAGGGCTGACTAGAGCTAACAGTGTCTATTTCCCTTTCCCTAACTCTCTTCTTATTTCTTCTTCTTTTCTTTTTTTTTTTTTTTTTAATAACCCGCTCAATTTCTATCATAATCTCTCTGATAGACATCAGAATTGTCTGAGCGATTTGAAGCACTGCTAAAAAAATATCAGCTGGAGGTCATAAGAGGGTATTTTTCAGTAGTCACAACCCAAGGAATTTGCAAGCAAATAAAATGACTCCTGCTGTGTTTGTATGATTTTCCTTAAATATAAATACTTTGCTCCCCCCTGCCCCCCATGCTTGGCATTAGAGTTATCTGTAAGGGTATGGGACAAAGGCATGAACGAAAGGGGTACATAGGAATCGTCAGGCAGAGTAGGGGTACTCTCTGGTGCATCACACAGCTCCAGTTCCAATCTCAGTCCCGTCTTACAAGCAAAGGAGAACAGGAAAACCAGTTATATAGTGGCTTGTAATTTACACATGCTCTATTTTCAATGCTGCTTCTAAATCCCCTGAAGTACAAATTTCATGTGTGCGCAGAGTGAAAAATACCATCCCAGTGAAGCTTCCTGAACCTTGTCAGTAACTGAACTGGGCTTATGTACTCTGCCAAGATACTGACTCCTGGGTTTGCTAGATAGAATAGGCTTTTTCTAACATCAAACATACCTACCAGCATCTGTTCTAAGCACTGATTTTTCCATATGTGCAGGTGGATCAAACACTGACTCAAGCCAGAAATTTAAGGGATCCCAGTGCACTTCCTAGCAGGCAGGTTAGACTCTAGTGTCGTAAACTGGTGTTTTATACAAAGTCATTTGAAATCATGTTATATTACCTCCAGTCCCCTAAGAAAACTTCATCTGCTATATGAATGCATGTATGCTTTGGTACTTGCTTGTGTTTTGTACACTCACTTGAATCACCACTGCTCAGTGTCAGAGTGAATTAAAAGCTGCAAACCGCATACACAGCCCTATACAAGGGGGGAATTTAATGCGCTGGAACATTCTGGTAAAGCTGGGAAAATAATTTTCAGTAACAAAGAAATTCAGCAAAGGGCACCTTGCTTGACTGTGCAGTACCATTTACAGTAGTTTCTATTTACGTGTCTTTTGCATGTACTGAATGGGATCTTTTTTGCTCTTGTTATCCATGTCTATCAATATGGGCAACGTTCTGAGCAAAGTTGTCCGGGTAAGGATCAATGACCACCCAATGTTACATGTTTCCCAATGCTTAATTGCCTGAAGCCTGATACGAGAGAGCCCACGGCGTATACCTATGTTTCTGCTGTTGCAACACTCACATAAGGGAGCATTTCAACAACCAAATCCAGAGAAATTCCCTAACTCTCCTGGGCACTGAGGCAACAACATACCACTGGCTTTCTCCCTCTAGAAGACTCCTCCAGCGGATTATCAGTTTCATGGCCAAGTCAAAACAGGAAAAGCAGATCTTGCTCCAGATTTCATAACACTGTAGGTAAAACTGAATTGCCCTCTAGCAATATGCAGTTCAGGCTCCTCCTGCCCTTGGAAAAGGGAAGGAGAGGAGCTGCCTTGGAAAGCCGGAGTGGGGCAGCCCCAGAGAGTGGCCCCAGTTTCTCCTACTGTTGCTATATGGGTGAAGGACATGGGGAAGGTCTATAGCAAAGCCCCAAACTGTGCAATTGGACTGTGGCTCTCTTGGCTGCCCTAAGCAGCACTGTACCCCAGGTCACTTCTCTGTGCCTAGAGCAGGTCTTGTGAGAAACAATACTAAAAGTATTTGAATTAACACTACAATGATCCCTCCACCAACAAACTAGCAGGGGAGAAAACCACCCAGCTTAAGAAACTGGAAGATCATTATCTAAACCTTATAAGTAATCTGTCAAAGAACTAGCAAAGAAACATTTCCCTAGGAGCAAGGTTTTAAAAGTAGTCCCAGCACCTTTATCAGGACAATCCAAGTCTGGACAAATAAAATGGCCTGACTAAAGATCTTTCATATTTTGTTGCTTCGTATTATTGCTGCTGGTTTTGTGGCTGAGGAGGATAGCCCATTGAGCTGAGGTTCTCATTAATACAGATTTTTCTGTTTGATTTCAGGTCTTATCAATGGCCTTTGGCATATTCTCTGGGGGACTGATCATGAAAAAATTCAGAATCAATGTTTTAGGGGCTGCAAAACTCTCTCTGGGATCATCTTTCTTTGGTTACCTTTTGCTCCTCTCATTATATGCGATGGGCTGTGAGAACTCGGACGTGGCTGGACTGACCGTGTCATACCATGGGTATGCTGGGAAGGGCACGCTTCAGGATAAAGTGCTATTGCAAACCAAAGTCCTTCCTCATTTTATTCCACAAAGTATATATTGTTGAACAGAGAATGACTGACCTAAATATGCTTCCCAGAAACTTGATTCAATGCAGTGGAAACCGCTCCATCTATTCCAGCGGGCATTGTGTCAGAACCATTTCATGATTGTTGCGTTCAGCCCGGTGGCATTTATGCCACAACTGCAGATTATTTTTCTGATTACTTTTTAATTATTATTGCCATGGGACACATCCTTTGAGCCTAGAGTTTTCTGGAAATGAGAAGCTTAGTAGGGGTTGTGAGATTCAATTAATTGTTCCTTGCCTCTGTGTGCTGCTGAACAATCCATGGCATTTAACAACCTCTGAACCCAAAACTTAAGGATTCATGGATTAACTATGAGTTAGCTGTGATGTTACCCATGAGATACACCTGAGGCTAGTACTTTTAGATAATTTTTTCCCCATGCTATTACTCTGTAAGGCTGACTTTTTGGGAGGAGTTTCCAGCACCAACTCCACAGCAGCCCCAGGAGCTGCTCTGCTGGTGACTTCAGCAGCAGCTGGCTGAAGTTGGCAAATAGCTGTCGTGCAAGGTATCAGACCCTCAGTTGGGATGAATCCCATTCTGATGATTTCCTCACTAACTTCTACAATGACTGTTTCCCATGAGTAACTCACTCCTCTCTTTGCCACTGGACTAATCAAACATTTTTGTCCGGTTTTGTTAAAATTGCATCAAGCCTCAGATAACTAAATTCTCAGAAAATCTGAGCAAATGCATGAATAGAAATTATTAGCTGTCCCCCTTAATAAAGTCGTTACTATCTCACAGTAGGTGGTGTGATATTGTGAAAACCTTTTGATAACAGAGAAATAAGAATTTAAACTGCTGTGTGGATGTGAGGAGACAACACCTTAATGGACTACAGAGAGAAGGTCTGGCCAGGTGCGCCTGGCAGAGAGCATAACCCACGATTTAATAATGATTTCTTCCACATCTGCTAGAAAACATTACTGTAATTTCTATTTTTCCCCAGAACTAAACAGCTGACTGATTACGAGCAAGCCCTGTTTTCAGAATGCAATTCGGGCTGCGCATGTTCCAAAAACGACTGGGACCCCATCTGTGGGGCAAACGGAGTTACCTACATTTCTGCTTGTCTTGCTGGCTGCCAGGCATCCAACGGCAGTGGGAAAAACATTGTAAGACAATCTTTTATCTCCATATGTGATATGGTAGTTTTCCTAATACAACAGTTCTGTCAGAGTAAATGGATTAAAATTGCATAAGGTGTGTCCTCTCCAGCCCTAAACTGCTCAGGTTTTTTTAGCAATCTGCCACCCACCTTTAAAACTTTCTCAATTGCTATTTCCAGCAGAAATCCAAGCAGAGAATGTAGGAGGGTGGGGTGTTTTTTTAGCTGTTGACTACCAAAACTGTTAAAAACCCCCAAACCTCTAAATACATTCAGCAACAGTAGATAATTTCTTTATAAATTTCTCCTTCAATGAACATGCCTTTTCATTTTGAAAAGACATTTTCCAGTTTGGATTTAAACTTTTGGCTACCCAGAAAAGCATAATGTGCAATTCCTGAACATCCACTTCTCTGCTATTTAGGTTATCATACTCTTTTGCCTTTTGTCTTTCAGGTATTTTTTAACTGCAGCTGTGTGGGAATATTGGAATCCCCTTCACGAAGCTCCTCAGCTGTGGTGGGACCATGTCAAAAAGGAAATGAGTGTCCAAAAATGTTTCTGTATTTTCTAGTAATATCAGTTATCACTTCATATACTTTGTCAGTAGGTGGCACACCTGGATACATACTGCTTCTAAGGTAAGAAATAATTTCTGACTGCATTGCTAAAAGTTTTCAAGGTGTTCCCTCCCCCCTTAGTATTTTGAAATGTTTTCACCTGTGCAAGGTGGCTTAAAATATTTTTTTAACTACTGAAAGGAATCTTTATAATTTGACAAGAAGTCTTCTGCCACTGAAGCAACAATGTGCTTATGATTAGCTCTACCAGCAATAGCTTTCTGGTTTTAAACATGATCTAGAAGGCCTTGTTATCATTTATACCAAATTTCACTTCCCTTGATGCCTTTTATATTACCAGAATATAAATGGCTTCAATGCAAATGGAAATTAACGGCACCTGTGCCAGTGTGTGCATGTGTATGCTTATAGGCAACCAGACTTCCTCACTTGCTATGGATAACGACGCATAGCTACGCAGAGGTGATCTAACTCAAACCCTCTAGATACACTCAACTCTTCTCCTCTAGTCCATTTTATTATTCCATATAATTGTCCTGTCCCAGATTTCTCTCTTAAAAACAAAGATAGATTTAGTACGTGAACTTTTATTTTCCTTCGCAATAATCATGGGTTTATTAAATGCTTGTCCCAAGGGATTGTTCCAATACATACTTAACTGCTGGAACTATTTGTCCATCACCGAGTGTAAGCTTTTAAGCTAATTTTAGAAAGTGCAAAAGGAATATAATACTTTCAGTGATTATTCTGGATTTTTGTCAGCTTCTGCAATTTTTGGATTCTAAGTGCTGCTCTGCTCTGGTTTGGAAAGCTTTCTTTCTCAGTTCCTCTTTCTAAATTATTTCCAGATGGGTACATTCTACTTCTCAAATAAAACAACGGTAAATACAGTTTAACTAGTCTTTGTTATTGTTGTGTTTTCTTACCCTAAATTCTCTTTTTTTTTTTGAATGACATTTTCTGGAACAGAACCTGTCTCATTGCCAGTGTTTTTATATAACATGGAAAAAGCCAGTGCTAGAACTGGCTGAATATAGGCTATATATGAAAAACCTAAACAGAGAAATGTAACTTCAGCTGTGGTTCCAGCACAGTCCTTGAACCAGAATTAATATTCGCACAGGGACTTTCAGAAATGGTTGAGATGAGGATCCTTCTCCACTGCAGTCCACAAACACTGCCAGTGAGGTATATGCCTTAAACAATATAAGCTGAGTAGCTTTCCC